CTTTTCAGATGTTACAAATGGGGGGGGGGGGGGGGCATAGTCATAGATCCATAGAAAATGAAGGTGTGAAGGGACCTCAGGAAGTTGCATCTAGTCCAACCCCCTGCTCCAAGCAGGACCAGCCCCAACTACATCATTTCAGCCAAGGCTTTGTCCAGCTGGGTCTTCAAAACTTCCAAGGATGGAGAGTCCACTACCTCTCCAGAAAGCCTGTTCCTGTGCTTCAGCACCCTCCTAGTGATAATTTTTCCAGGTGTCCAACCTCAACTTCCCTTCCTGCAGCTTGAGCCCATTGCTCCTTGTCCTGTCATCTGCCCCCACCGAGCACAGTCCAGCTTCATCCTCTTTGCAGCCCCCTGCAGGGAGTTCAATCCCCCTCGGTCTTCTCTTCTCCAGACTCAGTCAGCCCAGTTCCTTCAGCCTCCCCTCACCAGTCCTGTCTCCTAGCCCCCAAACTATTTTTGCTGCCCTCTGCTGGACTCTCTCCAATGCGTCCACATCCTTTCTGTAGTGGGGGCCCAGAGCTGGACACAGGACCCCAGAGGTGGCCTCCCCAGTTCCAAACAGAGGAGAGGAATTGCTACCCTCTATCTGCTGGCAGCACTCCTACCAATGCAGCTGAGGATACCGGTAGCCTTCTTAGCACCAAGGACACACTGGCTTCTGTTCAGCTTCTTGTCCCCTGTTCCCTCAGGTCCTTTTCTGCAGAGCTGCTGCCCAGCCCGTCGCCCGCAGCCTGCACCGGTGCGTGGGATTGCTCCTCCTAAGTGCAGGACTTTGCATTTGTCCTTGTTGAACCTCATGAGATTTCTTTTGGTCCAGTCCTCCAATTTGTCGAGGTGACTCTGAATCCTAGCCCAACCCTCCAGTGTATCTACTGCTCCCCCCAGCTTGGTGTCATCTGCAGACTTGCTGAGGGTGCATCCATCCCAGCCACTTTTCAGGACGTGCCATTTTGGTAGTCCATACGGCATACTAAATGTCAACAATGTTCTCGTAACAACTTTGTGAATTTACGTATGGGGGACCAGAAATGAATTTGCTGTGTTGTGAAGCACTGGGTTTAAAGCTCAGGTCCTTAATGAGTTCCTTAGAATGACCTACTTTTTGATGTTTTTACGCTGCCTTGAGAAATGTTGGCTCCTCAGTGCATTGCTCTGTGTGTGTGTGTGCGTGTGCGTGCCCGTGTGCCCATGCATGTGTGCACACATGCATATAAATGCTGCATGCATGTGTGCACGGGAGTAGCTTTTTAACAACTTCTTTTGAAGAGTTGGGGACAAGCCTGTTCGAAGTTGCTCTAGCATTAAAGGTGTATAGCTGAGCACAAGTCTTGGCATGAAGCAGCCATGCTCTAGCATACAGCACCATTGAGTTACAGAACATTTGCAGCAGGGTTTTGTGTCGCTTAAATCATCGGACTCTGCAACCACAAGACTCCTCTTGGATGCTCCATAGTCTTGATATTTTTTAGCCTGCGGTTGCCCTTCAGTAAGCACCATGTGTGTAAATTTTGGCATTTCAAAGTCCTGTTGTGCTGATGTGCATCTAAACCTTTTTGGATTGGGTAAGTATTTTTTTTTCTTCTAACCCTACTCTCTCGTCTCAGTACGTTTTCCCCCCCCAAGAGGCCTGGTGGAGCTGTGTTGCAATAGCTGGATAATTCTGCTAGGAAGATGGGTAGTGAAATAATTTCCAGTGCCATCATAAGGCTCCAGATTTAACTGCTTGAGGCAAAGGGGCAAGCTCTGCCCTGCTGATTTTTCTTGTCCCAAGTGCTCACGATCAACCGCACTTCAGTGGCTTGTGTTTGATTCCTGTCTCTAAGGGGTTTTTTAGTACCCGTAAGAGAGAGGGATGTTTCTATGTGATTCAGGCATATGGATCTGGTGCCTGACTTGAATTCTACAGCAAATTTCACTGCCACAGAGCACGTGAGGAGGCAGCTCCCAGGAAAGATGTTCTGCAAAGTGAGCTCAAGTCTTGGATGCCACAACTACCATGAAAGCGCTTTCAGAGAGCGAGAGAAAGGGATTCAACACTTCTTTTAAGCCCTGCAGTGTCAGTGTGCTCGCTAGACTCAAGTGGTTGACCTCTGAGGGCTTTGTGGGGTCTCACGCAGGGCTTGGAATATCAGTTTATTTTGAATGGAAAGATCTCGCCTGTTAACGGAGCAGTTGCTGTCCCCTCTGCTCAGCTGAGCCAGCCAGCTTTATGCTTTCAAATGTCCATACAGCTAAAACACTTTGTGTATCTAGTGCTCACTTGGCCAGGTTTGTATTCCCTTGTGCCTCTGATGTGAGCAGGGGGAAGGCAGTTGGGTCCCAATAATGTGCAGAAGACTGTTTTTATTCACTTATTGCATTAAGTCAGCTGCCTGCTCTTTGGGCCTAGTGTTGAAAGGCACTCTGGTTTTGCTAAGGTGTACCTTGCAAGCCTTCTGGCCCATCGACCAATAGTTGGGATGCCCTGGCAAGAGGGGTTTGTATTGGAAAAGGACTTGATACTCTCTCTGGCTTTCCTATTTTTATTAGCAATTAAAGCATTCCCAGCACCAGGGAGTGTGCGGGAGGAGCGCAGCAGACCCACAGTGGTCAGCAATTGGCCAGTTGCTTAGTGCAGCTTTCCTTGTGCCGAGTTAATGAGTTGTTTCACTCGTCTGTGAATGCTTCAGTGGATGTAGTTGGAGGACGGGAGCCAGGAACTTGGAGCTAATCCTGGCTGCCACTGACCGCGTGCGACTTTGAAGAAGTCCACTCGCCTCTGCTTTGTCTTCCCGTCAGTAAAATGGAGATGCCTCCCTGACCTCCAGGAGACCATCAGAAGACAGGGTAGATAGACTAACCAAAAGTTAGATATCTGTAGAGAGAGAGAGAGCAAGCACAGGCTTTATGAACACAAGTTCATTGCACCTGATGCCATGAAAAGACAGCGCGGAGAAGAGCATCCAGTGGTTGGATAGGTGGGAAGGCAGGGGAGGAGGCAGGTGAGCAAAGAAGCCCCGGGAGCAGAGAGGTCAACCAAGCTAAGCCAGGTATTGGGATAAGAATCCACGGTCCCTGTTTAAACCACATTGAACACAGCCCAGTCTGCGGATGGTTTCTTGTTCCAGTTTCCTGTGCAAACTGGTTTTTA